CACACACACACACACACACACACACACACACACACACACACACACACACACACACACACACACACACACACACACACACACACACACACACACACACACACACACACACACACACACAGAGCATGCACCGGACGCTGCTGGTCGCATCCAAGGCGACCACCATCCGCGTGTATTGCCAGCAGTGCTCGGGGATGCTGCTCAAGTACCGCAAGCAAGGCAAGGGCCAGCTTGTCAAGACGTTCCTGCACAAGATTGTCAAGGATAACACCAAGGTCAGCAGGCAGTGTTGTCACTGCAGGAAGCGAAGAAAAGCGAGGGAGGGAGAGAGGCACATGCATAGAGAGGGAGAGAGAGAACAGAGCGGGGCTGTGGGTTTGGGCAAGGGCACAGGAGCAAGTCCGCTTACCATGACCTCATGAACACTCTGTGTGTGCACCTACGTGTTATTACATTACATCACATGCTTGCTGAGTTATGACACTGGCTTTGCCTGGTTCGTGCTGTCGTTACTCCAACATACAGGAGCGGTGCGTGTGTCCTGACTGCGGAAGCGTATTCGCTCGCCCAGCCATCATCAAGAACAGGGAAGCGAACAAGATCATCGCGGGCCGCGTCTTTTGGAGATGAGAGGCGAACGCGATGACGAAGGGCACACCCACGCTCGCGAACACGCAGGCGCCTGTCCAGTTGAAGGACCACCTTCTCCATCCAGCTCGCGTGCACACCCGCAGAGGTGAGTAAACCGCTTGCTGCTCCTGCCGCTCTGGGTGTTTTTGATTGTTGATGCTGCTGTTGTTGCTTGCTTGCTTGCTTGCTTGTGGCATGGCGTTCATGGTTTCATATCATTGGCTTGCACTCGCAATCACAAGCGCAGGCCATTATGTTGGGTGTCAAAGCAATCATACTTCATAATCAATCACTGCATCACAACTGCATCACAACTGCATATCACATCGCATCTTCCTGTCTCAGCTCAGCGACGAAAGCACACTCTGCTCCCCCGTGTCCTCTGCACACATCTCACGTCGTCACCATCCATCTGCCCACCCCACTTTCACCCTTCCCCTTCGCTCCACTGGCTCAGCCAAGTGTGATTGAAGAAGAGAAGGTGTACTCCACCTTCGGGGCGCGCGTCTCAAACTTGTGAGACGCCAGGTCGACGTTCTGCTTCTCATCTGCAAGGGACGCGTGCGCAGCAAACACCACCACGCAAGTGCAACGGCGTGAGGTACAACGACGGACCCCATGCCACGCAGGACCACAGCAAGCCTTCTTGTGCTCTTATTTCTGTTGAACTGCAACCGCACAAGCAATGCGCCTTCACCAGCACCACCATCACCATCACCACCAGCAATACAATAGCCCTCCTGCCCCTTCACTCTTCAAACTGTGGCGAACCTTGTGCTGAGGCAGCATGCACACCAAACTCTTGCCGGTTGGTGGTTGTCTGTGTCAGCCTCACGCCAGTGGGGACCTTGGCCTTGGGTGTCTTTGTCTGCGCCTGTACAGTGGTTGGAACATGTGTGTGTGTGTGTGTGTGTGTGTGTGTATTGCAAATACAGCACAATCAGTATATGTAGGCAAGCACTGACACAGGCCCTGGCACATGCGTCATCAATCGTGACACAGACAGCCGCCACTTGTGGGCCTGAGCATACGTTGGTGAGCACAAACACACACGCACACACAACCTTGAGCGGAGGGCCCATGCGCAGGGACTCGGATGGGTAGTGCCGCTCGTGGCGCCCGGGAACCATGGACGATGCGTTTGGAACCCTGCATGATGAAACGCACGCGGTTCAACCGAGGTTCAACGAGTGAGCGCTGTGCGCTTGCGACCGCGCAAGTTGCGACCGCACGAGCACACACACACACACACACACACACACACACACACACACACACACATAAACACACATAAACACACATACACACATAAACACACATAAACACACATACACACACATACACACACGCACGCACACACACACATACATACACACACATAAACACACATATACATACACACGCACGCACACACATACACACATTCACATACATACACACACACACTCCTTCTTCTCCTCCCCTCTCCCCTATCGTACCTCTTGGTCTGCAGGGCTTCCTTCTGTGGGGGTGCAAAGTGCTCCCGCATTGACGTTTGCTTGGCAACAGGTGGCGCAGCAGCGGTGCTTGCGCCGCCCTTGGCAGCAGTGCCACTCACGGTGGGCTTGTCTGTTCCGCGGTACCCCGACCGCCTGTGAGGGTCCCCACGGCCACATCAAACACAATGAGAGACGCACTCACCAAACCAAAGCACACACAACAACAAGGAACGGCATCAACAGGCACGCAGGAGCAGCAACCACAACACACACACAACACACACACAACACACACCACAACACAATACACTACACACAACCCACAATACACAAACACGAGTGAGAACTCACTTGGCCCAGGCAGGCACGTCCATGCTTCCTTGCTCTTGTTGCTTGGGCTGCGTTCACAGTCTCACCCTTTCCTTCTGATTCGCTACAACTCCAATGCCAAATGATTGAGCACTCCTACAAGGCAACAACACGGCAACAGCAACACCACAACAACACTGCACTGCCGATCCAGCAAAACAACTTGCTTGCTTGCTTGCTTGCTTGCTTGCTTCTTGCTTACTTGCTTGTCCTTCTTGCTGGTTGTCTTGGCTTTTTTTGTGTGTCGTGTCGCCGCGTGTGGAACGACAGCAGCGAAGACATCAACGACGACAGTGGTGCGTGGAGGTGGAGACTTGGGGGGGGGGGATCTGCGTGCGTGGGTGTTTCGGGTTTGCACTCTGTCGCTGTGCGGATGCCTCGCCTACAGCCACAGCCACAGCCACAGCCACAGCCACGAACACACACTCGCATACGCACATGCACACGCACATGCACGCGCACATGTCTCGACTCCTATGCCGTTTCACTCATGTTCGCCTGCTGGACACCACCAACTCTGCTCCAATCACGTTTCATCTCAGACCACGCATCGTTCGTTCCGTGTGGCAACGTGAGCGAGCAACGGCACGCCCGCTCTGTCGCCTCGAACCAGTTGTGAGAAGCACCTGAGGACTAGCTGGGCAAGGGTGCACCCCTCGCCGTTTTAGGAGCTGTTGCTGGTCAACAGCAGAACACGCACACAGAGAACCCACTCCACCACCATCACCAGCCGGTGCTTGGCTCTGTGCTCATCGTGATAGTCGGTGACGCACAATGTCACAGTTGGTTTGCAACGTGGTAGTCGCCGTGGTCTGTGCGCTGGTCGCATGTGCCACCGCAGTCAACCACTGGATGGCCACCAGCACAGGCGTCATTGCACCAGCGGTCAGTGCATGTGTGTCCGCTTTTACGAGCGCGCTTGTGTGTGTGTGTGTGTGTGTGTGTGTGTGTGTGTGTGTGTGTGTGTGTGTGTGTGTGTGTGTGTGTGTGTGTGCGTATGTCATGAACATGTGCGTGTGAGAGAGTGTACTGTGTTGTGTTGTCTTGTGCAGAGGTTTGTGCCACTGCTGTGGTTGTCTATCAACCCTTTGTTTTGTCTTGTCGCTCGACGAACGAATGCAGTACATGCTCCATCTCAGCACCGGCCGCATGTGCATTCGCTAACTTCCCACCTTTTGTCTGCCTTTGCACCCCCGATGGTTTGTTGCCACTGACCGCCAGGATGACTTTGAGTTTGAGAGCGTTGATCCACATTCGGAGCACTTGTCGGCGTTTGTGTTCCACGACCACCGCATCGGGCGATACAGAAGCACGGCCACGCGCATCGACGAAGCATACTTCCTCGATAAGCCTGCCCTCTCCATCCTCAAGGTCAGCGATGCGTACGACCTGTAAACACACGCACACGCACACGCACACGCACACTCGCTCATGCCGTGGCTACGTTTTCTTTGTGTGCCTTCATTTACACTCACACACTCACATAAACACTCACACTCTTACGTCATTCACACATGCGCCGTATTGACGCCGTGGACAGGTGGACATGCCGGATGTGCTTGCGAAGACGCGGGACTACGACCCGGCCGTGACGGTGTCCACTCTCGACCTGCACCAACCGCTCGCCCTCATGCTCTCCCACAAGGGCCTCGAGTAAGCCGCGCTGGCTGCATGCATGCAGGCGTTGCTGTGGTGTGTGTGTGTGTGTGTGTGAGTGTGTGAGTGTTTGTGTGTGAGTGTGTGCGTGGGTGTGTGTTATGTGTGTGTGTGTGTGTGTGTGTGTGTGTGTGTGTGTGTGTGTGTGTGTGTGTGTGTGTGTGTGTGTGTGTTATGTGTGTGTGTGCGTGTGTGTGCGTGGGTGTGTGTTATGTGGGTGGGTGTGTGTGTGTTTCTCTGCTTGCGAAACCACCCGCCCTCATCTTCACTAATGCTTGGTGCGCAGTGCTCGCGAGTTTGTGGACATTCAGTCCATTCCGCCAAAATTCAAGGGCAAAGCGCCCATCTGCACCGACCTCAATCTCAGGTGCAATATCAACACGTGTGATTGTGATTGTGTGGACGTGAAATCAATAACAGCAATACTGCACTGTTCGAAGATTCCCCCCCCCCTCATGCCATGCCATGCCACCACCACTGCTCACATGCGTGCGCGTGTGTTGCTGTGCGCAGCAGCAAAGATGCGCAGGCGCTGTTTTCGCTGATTCGCTCGGAGGGCCTGCCACGCACCGCCGAAACACACCTCCTCCCTTTCCTCTGGCTCGAACTCGCTCAGGTAGCGTTTTATATGTGTGTGTGTGTGTGTGTGTGTGTGTGTGTGTGTGTGTGTGTGTCCGTCTGTCTGCCTGTTTGGTTCTGTGGGTGCCTTTAACTGGCCCTTGCGTCAGCATGACGGCGTTGGACACAGCCCCATCTCACTCCTCCTCTCCGCACACCTCCCAATGCCTTGTTCCTAGGACGATGATGACGAAACGACGGTGCCCCCAAAGTTCCTGAAGAAGCTTGGTGGTGGTCTTGCCCACGCACTCTGTAAGTGCTGTACATGCACCTGCGTGATTTATGTTCGTGAGCTCAAACACCGCATTTACACAGCACGCACGTGTGCACATGTGCACGTATGCCCAATCTCCGTGCCTGGCTCGCTCACACGCATCCATCACCACCCCACCGCGTGCCAGCTGTGTACCCGGAGTCGTGGATCGTGCACTTCCTGTCTGGGCTGTACTGGCGGGCCGGTGGCGATGCGTCGAGCAGCGTGGAGTGTTTCCGCAGGGCGCTCTACCTCGCCCCCGATCCCTTCCGCGACCTCCCACTCGTCTCCCTCTCAGCCGTCCTCCTCCGCGCTAACGTACACATACGCACAGAGAGAGGGTGAAGCTGGTGTGTGTGCGTGTGTGTGTGTGTGTGTGTGTGTGTGTGTGGGTGGGTGTGGGTGTGGGTGTGGGTGGGTGGGTGTGTGTGTGTGTGGGTGGGTGGGTGTGCGTGTGCGTGCGTGTGTGATTGGGTTGTGTGCTGTGAGGCAACGGACTACTGCAGCGTTTTGGCCTTGCGTGCACAAACCGCACGTGCACACACAAATGAATCAGTGCTTTGTGGGCGTTCACGCATTACCACCCCGTGTTCACTTGGCTGTGTATTGTTTGTTGCCCGCACGTGACAAACAGCGAACGGGGGACGCGCTGGTGCTGATTGACTCAGCGCTCTCAACAACAGATTCCCTCTATCTTCCGCACATGCTCAAAGGCATCATCCTCCTGGTGGGTGGGTGTACGCCTGTCCGTCCGTCTGGCCGTCCGTCCGTCTGTGCTGAAAGATTCATGTTGTGCTCGTTGTCTGATACCATCATCATTGTCATCACCGTGTTTTCGCCGTGTCACCTTGCACCACCGCGCATTTCATCTGCAACTCACCATGCAACACGCGCCGCTGCAGACGGCCAACCGAACCGTTGATGCGTCGACGTCGTTTGCAAAGGCGATTCAACTCAACCGCGGTGCGCAACCACCGCCCAATACAGCACCACTCAATACATAACCACGCTATGCAGCACTACTCAACACTACACAATACATAACCACGCTATGCAGCACTACTCAACACCACTCAATACATAACCACATTATGCAGCACTACTCAACACCACACAATGCATAACCACACTATGCAGCACTACTCAACACCACACAATACATAACCACGCTATGCAGCACTACTCAACACTACACAATACATAACCACGCTATGCAGCACTACTCAACACTACACACTACAACCGCACATGCCCTGCCGCGACTGCCTCGGACGTCTAGTCCTCAGTGCACAGAGCACCACACTGCATTCCTCCGCTTGCTTGCACTCAACCAATCACCACCACCATCGTCGCCACGACAGGGCTGACGCTTGGCTTTGAGTTTCTCCTTGCGACGCTGAGCGACGTGAAGGCGGCGGCTGCAACGGCCCGACGCGAGCGCGAAATCAACTTCCGTCGCCTCACCATGGTCCGTGCACTTTGAGAGAGGGGGGGGGTTGTGCTCATGCGCTGGTGTGAGGCGGGGATGTAATGGCGTGAAACGATGTGTTGCTCATCACAACATCATTTACGCTCACTCATTATGCACACACACACACACACTCGCCCGTCACGCATGTGCACACACACATGTACATGTGCACAACTGCTCAGGTGCTCCCGCCGGACCTGACGTGGGCGGACTTTGATTACGAGGCAACAGCTGGTCCGTGCACGCGGCTGTGGCCTTGCCTCGCGCTCACAACTGCCATGAACACATACACAAGCCACACAGAGAACAGCGCACATTCACATTCACACACACACACACATCCACACACACGCGTTAAACACAAACGCACGCACACACACACACACACACACACACACACACACACACTGCGGGTGCTGCTTGTGGCGGTGGTGCAGACATGTGTGCCGGAGCAACGTGCACGGCGCACGCGGAGTGCAATCCTCTGGACGGAAAGTGCCACTGCATGGACGGATGGCTCGCTGTGCAGGGGCAGTGCGTTGCAGACGACCTGTGCGAAGACATCCAGTGCAAGGTGCGCTTTGTGTGTGTGTGTGTGTGTGTGTGTGTGTGTGTGTGTGTGTGTGTGTGTGTGTGTGTGTGTGTGTCCATGTGTGTCCATGTGTGTCCGTGTGTGTCCGTGTGTGTTTGTTTTTGGTCCTTTCGACTGTACACACTCCACACACACACGCAATCACACACACAATCGCACACAATCACACATACACACGACCTTCGTCACACCGCGTGAACAGCCGAATGCGATGTGCCGTGGCGGGCGCTGCTACTGCCGCCCGGGATACGTTGCCTCCAACGGCGCGTGTGTTGCGGATCCATGCGCCGGTGTCGACTGTGTCGAGCACGCCGTGTGCGACCCAAACTACGGCCTCTGCAAGTGCATCCCGCCATTCAAGGCATACGGCCCAGAGGTAACGCGGGCCGTGTGCTGTCTGTGCGCGTGTCTGTCTGTGTGATTGCGAACCATTGTGTGCATGCGTGTGTGTGATTGCGAACCATTGTGTGCATGCGTGTGTGTTTGCGATTGCGTACGTTTGCCATGTTTGGACTCCTCTCACTTCTTCACCATTCAACGTCACTGCCCATCTTTGTTGTGGTTGTGCCATCAGTGCGTGACGGAGGAGTGTGTTGGCATTGTGTGCGGGAACAACTCCTTCTGCCAGCGCGGCCGCTGCTTCTGTCGCATCGGATACAAGGCCGAGGATGGCATCTGCATCAAAGGTCCGCAGACACATGTGTGCGTGTGTGTGTGTGTGTCTGTGTGTGCGTGTGTGTGTGAACGCTTTCACCTGCGCGTCACTCTTGACACAAGTCTTTATTCCCCTCCCGCCCTCTTTTCACCGCACACACGCACACACACACACACACACACACAACGCGCCGGCGTTGATCGCTGTGCAGATGAGCCGTGTCACCGCCAGCAGTGCCCCGCAAACGCCACTTGCAATCCTGACGACGGCCACTGCCGCTGTGCTGACGGCTTCGTTGCAGATATGCACAACAACAGATGCGTCCCAGAACACGGTGAGCAGTGCGACCTGCTGCGGCCCTCCTGTTGGCCGTGTCTTGCTTCATTTCCCCTCCCGTCTTCAAAGTCTTTCTGTGTTTGATTGAGACGGCGTGCGGCTTGTGTGGTCACGTCTGTGTGATGTGAGTTTTTCACTCGACAATCACTGCATCCGCACACCGTTGCGAATCATCGTGTCACCTGTGCACGCGTATGCAGAAGCTGTCGAGTCCACCACCCCCCTCGCTGCCGACGAAGGAGACGACAACACCAGCGATGATCACGAGGATGACGGTGGTGACAGTGGCGTGTTGACGAAAGCATCCGACTTTGACACGGGCATCTTTGACCCCAACGACCTCGAAGACGCATCGCTGCAGCCCACAATGGCCGTTGGCGTGAAACCCGGCACGTCTGCGGACACGCATTCCGGTGCGCGGCGCCACCTTCCCTTTGAGGAGGAGGACTTCATCACCGCCGACAAGTGCACGCGCGCAATGCGCAGGATGCCGTCATGGGATGAGTTCTCAAGGTCGGTTGGTGTGTGTGTGTGTGTGTGTGTGTGTGTGTGTGTGTATGTGTGTATGTGTGTGCCTGTCTGTCCATCTGTCTGCCCGTCTGTCTGTGCCTGTGTCTCTCTGTGTCTCTTACCTGCCCATTTTTCTCATCCTTGACTTCTGCCCTCACGTCTCTATTCTCCTTCATCTCTCGCCGCCATCCTGCTCCTGCTGTGCTTGTTCATTTTCTCCCCAGCACGTTCTTGCCGCCTGTTCCCGACTACGACCTCTCCCTGCAGACCCTCCTCGCAACAAAAATTCGCATCCCTCCAAACACCAAATTCCAGCAGTGAGTTGTGTGTGTGTGGGGGGGGGGGGGGGGGGGGGGGGTTTGTGGGTGTTTGTGGTGGGTGGGTCTGCCTGTGTCTGGGTGTGGGTGTGTTTGCGCATCGATCACTTGAGTCCTGCAAATCCTTTCATTTCCTCGCGCTCTGCAAACCTTGTGCTCCATTCTCACGCTCGTGCCAATACCTTACGTCGTACTTTGCCAGGCCGTTCTGCACGCAGGGGCAAGTTGTGTTCAGCGCGGGCACGATGGACCGCATTCCGTCGCTCGCCATCAACGCCTCCCTCGGCCCCGGCAGCACGTACCCGGAGGAAACGGGACTCAAGGACATTGCCCAGCATTTGCTCGGTCAGGGCCGCGTATGTGTGTGTGTGTGTGTGTGTGTGTGTGTGTGTGTGTGTGTGTGTGTGTGTGTGTGTGTGTGTGTGTGTGTGTGTGTGTGTGTGTGTTTGTGTGCGTGTGTGTGTGTGGTTGTGTGTGGTTGTGTGTATGTGTGTGTCTCTGTGTGTGTGTGTGTGTGTCTGTATGTCTGTCTGTCTGTCTATCGATCTGTCTATCTGCCTGTCTGTCTATCTATCTATCTATCTGTCTTCCTGCCTGCCTGTCTGTTCGTCCCGTGGTGGAAAGCAGCGACCTGTGCTGTATGCAGAGTTGAAACTGTACTGCTTACCGTCCATTCACCGACTCTGATACTCTGTGGTCCAGGGTTTGCGATGCCTGTGGACGAGTTTGGTCATCGGATTGCTGACGTGCTCAGCGGCCACGAAAGTCAGTAGTGTCGTGTTGCTCACGTGTGCTTTTGGCACCTGTGCTGGTGATTTCACTGTTGTCACCCGACGACCGTTTTGCATGTGCTTGCTTGCTTGAATGCCATGCAAAAAGCCCGTGCATGTTCAAAATCACAGTACCACCTCACACCATCTTGCCTCCTCCTCCTCCTCCTTGGCATTCCCGTCCAATCCCAACACCAAACCACACATCCACACATCCACATCAAAACATCCACACCCACACGTACACATGGACGTACACGCAGCGATCTGGGCGCTGTATGACCTTGCTGCGCTGTACTGGCGCGTGCAAGGGAAACACACGGAGGCAATTCGATGCATCCGCGCATCGCTGTTTCACTCGCCGCCAGAGTACAAGGACGTCGCTCTCATCAACGCCGCAAACATTCTCCTGCGCAGAAACTCCCTCGCAGGTTCGCAGGATACATTTGTGTGTTCGCGTTGTGTGTGCCTGTGTATCTGTTTGTCTGTCTGGGAGTATTTCACGTGTCTGTCTGCGTTTCGGCCTGTCCGTCTGCACGTCCCTCTTTGTGGTTTGATCCTGTGTTTGGTTTGGTCTCTCTCCCATATTTTCTTGACTTCCACTCACCAAATGGCACCCGTGCACCACCAATTTGCCCGACCAGATGCGCGTGCTGTGGCGGAGGTTGCGCTGGCCACGACACAGCACCACCGCGCCATCTGCCACTTCACGCTGGCGAATGTCCTGTTTACGCGCACGGAGCTTGTGGAGGCCATTGAGCACTACAAGGACGCCCTGCGCTACCAGCCCTCGTTCCAGCTCGCTGAACACTCCCTTCGCCGCGCCATGTTAGCCTTTTTCTGCTGCTGCTGCTGCTGCTGCTGTTGTTGTTGTTGTTGTTATTGTTGTTCTTGTTGTTGTTGTTGTTGTTGTTGTTGTTGTTGTTGTTGTTGTTGTTGTTGCTGCTGCTGCTGTTGTTGTTGTTGTTGCTGCTGCTGTTGTTGTTGTTGCTGTTGTTGTTGTTGTTGTTGTTGTTGTTGTGTTGATGGGGCGGGGTTGGGTGAGGTGAGGGCATTTGTCCATTTGTGGATGAATGCGCGAGGATTTGTCTCTGTGTCTTCTTGGCCTTACTTCTGGGTGGTTGAAAAGGTCATCATCCAACCCCCCTGTTTCTCACTCATCAACACCGGTCACGCCTGCTGTCCCAACTTCTCCTTGCATCACAGGTGTGCGCAGCAGTATCCGCTTGCCAACATGTACAGCGAACAGGAGACAAAGGAGGTGAGACACAACGCCTTGTCCGCCACTTGTGTTGCCGTGTGTACGTATCTGTGTCTATCTGCCTGTGTCTGTGTCCTTTTGCTTGTAACTGCTCATGTACGTGATTGTATGGCTGTGTTTGTGCGTGTGTGTGTGTGTGTGTGTGTGTGTGTGTGTGTGTGTGCGTGCGTGCGTGCGTGCGTGCGTGTGTGTGTGTGTGCGTGCGTGTGTGTGTGTGTGCGTGCGTGTGTGTATGTGTGTGTGTGGCGACAGGAGCGGGCTGCGCGAGAGCAACTGCATCGCCAGGTGAAGGATGCGCGTGCCCTCAAGGATCGCCTTGAACACCTGAAGCAGATTGTGGAGGCGTACGATGAGTCGTCGGAGGTCGCACAGCTCAAGGTGCCGCTGGTGTCTTGCTTGCTTATTTGGGGATCCGTGAAGTTGACTGGTCTGTGTATGATGCTCGATCGAAAATATCTGATGTGGATTACTTGATGCTGGTCTTCTTGTGTGTGTGACCATGTGACACCCTGCCTGCATTGACGTATGTTTACGCATGTGTGTGCGTGTGTGTTGTCAGTCGCAACTGCACGATGCGGAGGAGCGTTTGCGCACGGTGTTCCTGCGACAGAAGATGGAGTCGCGCGCCAAACCGGAAGAACGGCTGCTGTCGTCGCTGCAGTACAAACTCCGCCTGCGCACAGAGGAGGAAAAGCAAGAGATGAACGACCCGCAGCTCGCTGACCTCGCCCCGTTCGACGCCATGCTCCACGACCTCGACCCAGGTGCGGCTGCCGTGTATTGCTCGTATGCGTGTGCGTGAATGTGTGTGTGTGTGCGTGAATGTGTGTGTGTATGTGTGTGTGTGTGTGTGAGTCGTCTGTGTGTGTCTGTGTGTCTGTGTGTGTCCGCGTCTGTGTCGTGTCTGTGTCTGTGTCGTGCCTGTGGCTGTGTGTCGCACCGACTCCGCTTGTGCTCGAACCATTGCATCTGTTCCTACTGAAGGCTGACCTCACGGGTGCATGCGGCCACTTTGGACAGTGGATTCGCTCAAGCTGCAACAGCAGGAGGGCAAGGCGCTCGTTGACGCCGCTATCACCAGCATGAACAGCCACCACACTCATAGTGACGATGATGATGATCGTGATGATGGTGGCAGCACGTCGGACCCTGTAGCCTCGCGCTTGATCACCACCGTGAGTCGTTCGTGTGGCTCACACAATCATGTTGTGGTTGTTGTTGTTGTTGTTGCTGTTGTTGTGGCTATCAGATTTGATGTTTCAGAGCTTGACATGTGTGCATTCACGCTCATCTCATGTGTGCATGCATTTGCTCGTACAACCTCCAGTCTCCGTCCATCCCGACGTTGATTGAGTTTGTCGACAACGCCCTCGTGGGCCACACGAACCAAACAGCCGTGCAGGTGTGACGTTTTTTATCTGCTTCCTGTGCTGCGTTTGCCCGTGCAAAAACAACAACTAGACGCTACGAGACGCACATGTCTCAACTTGATGCACCATGGGACTGTCATTCACGCTGACTTTCCTCCATGTACACACGGCACACGTACGCGCGCACCCTCTCTCCCTCACTCGCTCACTCACTCACAGGTGCTGGCGGACCCTTCGTGGCCGACGGCTGCGGAGTGCTCGGAGCGGCTGCAACTGCCGGAGCCGACACTGCACGAGCTGGAGAAACTGTCCATCATCTCCATGGTCAATGGCGACGTGCTCGGCGCTGCTGGCGACAGTCTTGATGGCGGCGACGATGGCCGCGGTGGCGCCGCTCGGAGGCGGAAGAAGAGGAGGAGCAAGAGGGCGAGGCGCAGTCGTCGTGGTGGCAGCAGTGGCGATGATGGTGATGGTGATGGTGATGGTGAGGGATCGCTGACGCTGCAGGAGTCTGCATGGGCGGTGATGGAGCGTCTGGTTGAGGAAGAGGCGAGCACTGGCGGCAGCACGTGGTTGGCGGACGATGTTGCGCTATTGCGCGACGAATTGGCGTCTATCGCATCTGCCCCATCACTCGAGTCCCAGCGCAAGCAAGTCGGCTTCAAGCTCCCAATATGTCGCCCACCTGCCGCCATGGATCATGTGGTGTGTGCTTGTGTTTGTTTGTGCAGGTTTGTGCGTGTGTGTGTGTGTGTGTGTGTGTGTGTGTGTGTGTGTGTGTAGGTTTATGCGTGTGTGTCTGTGTGTGTCTGTGCCTGTCTGTGCCTGTCTTGCTGTCTGCCTGTGCTTGTGTGTCTCTCGATGTCAGTGTTTGTCACAATCGCTGCTGCTTCGCTTTTCACGCCTTTGGAAAAGCGCTCATCGTCATCATCGTCACCATTGTCATCTTTGCCATCACCACCGCAGGCACTGGATGCGCTTCATGCCGTTGCGAACCGATACGACAACAAAGAGCGTGTGCCGGAGGAAACAGACATTCAAGCGATGATCGCCCAGCTCGAGTGAGTTGGCCCAATGCTACTTCATTTGTTACTATCAGCGAATTGCTTTTCACCATTTTCATAATGTAGGTACGCAACCACTCACGCGTGTATGACATTGTTGCCTTGTGTGTGTGTGTGTGTGTGTGTGTGTGTGTGTGTGTGTGTGTGTGTGTGTGTGTGTGTGTGTGTGTGTGTGTTTGCACTTCATTTCCCACAACCAGGGAGCCCGGGCTGGGTGTGAAGGAGTTTGCGATCCGCACCACCGAATTGCTCAAGCGAGAGCCAACACACTGGCAAGCAAACTACATTGCGTCGTTCTTCTGGCGTGGCACAGGCAACACTTCACAGGTTAGAGAAGTGGTGTTTCATGTGTGTGTATGTGTGTGTCTATCTGTCTGTGTGTGTGTCTGTGTCTTTGTCTGTGTGCTTGTCTGTCTGTACACGCACTTGGTGGTCGCTGGCTTTTCTCCAAAACCTTGCACACATAATGCTCACGCATGTGCAAACACGGAACGCGTGCAGGCGGTTGAGTGTCTTCGCACGGCGTATGCGTTCGCGCCTCGACGTCAACACCTTCACATCTTCATCGGGTTCGACCACCATTTGTCGTTTTGCATTCCCGCCATCCACTGTCCAATGCACACTTGCCTCGCGCTCAATCCCTCACTCTATGCGCATGCGCATGTGTGTGTGTTCATCCACGGACAACAGGCTTGCGAATGCACTGAGTCATGGTGGCCACCTCGTGGACGCCATGGCCGCAGCGGAAACTGCCATCAGGGTAAATAAACTCGTGCGTGTGTGTCTGAGTGTGTGTCTGTGTCTGTGTCTGTGCGTCTGTGTCTGTGCGTCTGTGTCTGTGTCTGTGGGCCGGTAGCGCTCATTAAGACCGGAAGGACATGCCAACTCAAACATCATTAAAGGCTATTCTGTAAAACTCCTCTTAATTTATAGCCCCACTTTGTTGTCCAGACCTCCTACTTCCAGTCGAACTTATCTATTGTAATCCGCGCATGACCCTCGACCAAGTACGGCGGATAGAGTAGCATTGTAATCCACTTCCGAGAGGAGAACTCTACGTTCATCCACTAAACGATTTCTCCTGAACAGAACCACGCCTACACGGCCCAGAGTAATAGAGGAATACGCGCGACTGAAACCGGTGGTCGCCCTCCTCGCTAGCTGTGTCTGTGCGTCTGTGTCTGGTGTGTGTGTGTGTGTGTGTGTGTGTGTGTGTGTGTGTGTGTGTGTGTGTGTGTGTGTGTGTGTCGAGTTGTGTTTCTTTTCTCTGCGTGTTCGTGTGCTGGTGTATCTTTACCCGTCTTTGTTCGCCCTATGCTCCTCCTCATCACCACTGCCGCTGGTGTCGTGTGTTTCCTCAGATGGAACCACTTGATGCCGTCTGCCACACGACGATGGCCAATGTCCTCAGCCGTCTCGGCGGCAGATCAACAGAGGTGCGGCCACTCGCGTTGATGCGACGCTGTCTGTGTGTGTGTGTGTGTGTGTGTGTGTGTCTGTGTCTGTGTCTGTGTCTGTGTCTGTGTGTCTGTGTCTGTGTCTATGTGTCTGTGTCTGTGTATTACTTGCTTGCTTGCTTCTCCGCGCTGCTTGTTGCTGTTGCATATTTGCTTTCCTTCCCCCCCCCAACCTACGGTCCTCTCATCTGCATATTCTTCTGCTCCCGCGCGGTTGACATTGGTGATAGGAGACCATATACTTCTATGAGGCGGCGTTTAAACTTCGCGGCACACACTCGAGCTCGCTGCTGCCTCGATTGCAGCTGCTGCGCTGCCAGCAGCGGTATCTTCAGCCGCTTGCCACCTCCCACCCCACTTAGCTCCCAACCAGGACACGCCTCTGTCTGTTTGAATGTGTGTGTGTGTGTTTGAATGTGTGTTTGTGTTTGAATGTGTGTGTGTGTGTGTTTGTGTCTGCGCGTGTCTGTGTCTGTTTGTGCGTGTCTATGCCAGTGCCTGTGTATGTGTCTGTGTGTGTGTCTGTGTGTGTTTGCACTTGTTGAGGTGTTGTCTGCTTCGAACCAGGAATAGAGTGTCACTTTGCCCAGCAAGTTGCCGTGTATCGAAGTCCAAGCTGCTGAAGAAAGCAAGCAAGCTTAGTCACAAAGTAGGAGAAGGAGACAAGGGGAGAATCATGTGTCCAGAGAAAGGGAAGTGCAACCACGATGTACGTTTGAATTACGATTCAATTAATTGTCAGCGTTTCTTGACGTTTCATCACTCTCCACGTGAGGTTCAACCTGTAAGCGCCCAAGCACGATGAGTGAGTGAACGCAAAGTGTGCATATGTGTGTGTGTGTGTGTGTGTGTCGTGTGTCTCGTGTGCGCCTGTTTGTGTGTGTGTGTGTGTGTGTGTGTGTGTGTGTGTGTGTGTGTGTGTGTGTGTGTGTGTGTGTGCGTGTGTGTCGTGTGTGTGTCTGGGCTTTGATACTTCTGCACAGAGAACAACTCGCTCAGTCAGTCCTGTGAAGCCCGTTGCGATCCTCCATGTTGCTCCCATCCACAGCCACCAAACAAACACACCAATGAAATGACAGTACGCGAAAATCACACACACACACACACATGTCTACAGCAAACAGAGAGGGCTGGGACAGGAGCGGAGGGATTGCAGTCGTGTTGATGTTCGGGCCATCAGACGCGCGCGCACGAGAATGTGCGACGCAATGCTGATTCACGTTGCCCACCAACCACCAGCTGTTGTGGAGTTGGGAATTGCAGCAATGGTGGCGGACAACAGGCCCAGAAGTGGAGATAGCGAAAGGGAAGAGGATTGAGAGACAAAAATAGAAAGAAGGGAAGAAAGAGAGAAGGAAAGGAAAGGAAAGGACAGGAAGGAAAGAAAGAAAGGGAAGGGAAGGGAAGGAAAGGGAAGGGAAGGGAAGACGGAAAGGAAGACAGAACTGCCTCACGGTGATGGGTGATGAAAACTGTGACAATGGCGAGCACTGCCATGGAAACACCGCATCCATGGACACTGCATCCACTCCAACGCACCACGGTGTAGAGGAACATGGTTGCTGCGTCCTCTGCAAACTCGTCGTCTTCATCAACGGGTTCTGGGTAGGCGATGGGTACGCGCTTCAGATGCGACATGGACGACGACGGCAGCTGGTGGCGATGACAGATGATGCATGGGAGTTGGGGGTCAGGAAGTGAGTTGAGTTGGGATGGTGTGAAACATGCGTGCCGTGTACATATGGCGAGCACGTGTTGGCTGCTCAAAGAACATAGAGAAAGCGCGTACACACACACACACACAAACACACACAAACACACACAAACACACGCACACGCACACACGCACACACGCACACACGCACACGCACACGTACGCACACGCACACGCACACGCACACGCACACACACACGCACACACGCACACGCACACGCACACGCACACGCACACGCACACGCACACGCACACGCACACGCACACACACACGCACACACGCACACACGCACACACTTCAGCAAACAGCCGGGTACATCGACAACATGCTGCGTGCGGCCATGGCGTACCCCAATGGTGTCCAGAGACTCTTCAATGGCCGGGACGGAGAGAATAAACGTGTTGGAACGCGTAAGCGCCTGGAGCACAGTCAGCCACAACCTGGAGAGAAAGGAACGTCAGGCACACTGAGCAACTTGGATACTGTCACAAGCAGGCAGGGAAAGAGGTGTGCTGTAATCACTACGCATCATACGCCGCTCATGCGCACGGAAGAGCAACACGATTGCATTGGCATCAGAAACACAAGCGCTGCTCACTCTTGGCTGTAGGCCTTGTCGCCAAAGAACTCAAACACGTTGTGAAGCACAACCAGGTCCGCTGGTTCCATGGATGCACGAAGAAGCGACAACGGGTGAGCCGCAACCAAAGTGTGCCACCAACAACAGCAGCAGCACGTGCCAGCAGTGAATGCGATGGTGCAGACACGACGGGGACAGTAAGGTGCAAGAAAAAGGAAGCGCGCGAAGTGCCAGCAGTGAATGCGATGGTGCAGACACGACGGGGACAGTAAGGTGCAAGAAAAAGGAAGCGCGCGAAGCAGCGCAACAACCGACCTTGTTGTAGCAGATCTGTGTGTTGCCGAACATCGCCTTCCACCACCTGTAATGCGATGCAGCACGACCAAGGATGAGCGGATATGGCAACATGGAAACCCCGGCATCAAGCATGCTCATTGATGGTGCCCGCACACGCGAAAGCAGTTGACAATGATAGATGGGAGAACGCTGAAATCTGTTCAAGCACACAGGTATGATAATGTGCCTGCCCCTGATGAATCTACGCACATTGATGGCTTTGAGGTTGAACTTATCGATGACGTCGCGTTGCTGCGCGGCATAGGTGCTGTTCACCTCCACGCCAGTGTACGTGAGATCGGGTCGAAGGCAACAGCCCTGAGCACGGATACATGTGAGGTGCGAGACACACACAAACAGCATGAGCGGGGTGTGTGTGTGTGTGTGTGTGTGTGTGTGTGTGTGTGTGTGTGTGTGTGTGTGTGTGTGTGTGTGTGTGTGTGTGTGTGTGTGTGTGTGTGTGTGTGAGCAAGGAGCAGAGGAGAGAGAGAGAGAGAACAATGTTGGCCCAGCCAAAGCATCAACGCACACACACATACACACATATACACACACATATACACGCATATACACACATGCACACACATACACACGCACGTGCGCAAGTCCGCACTGTGGGACAAGCGACCAGTGAGGCAAGATGGCGCACCGCAAAGAGAACGGCGCCGAGGCGGGAGCCGATATCGACCACGTGGCGGACGGTTGGGCAATATTGCGGAATGATGGTGTTGTACATGAACTTGAGCTGGTGCAGCGACATGGAGTGCGAGATGAACGCTGCCAGTGTTGGAGCGTAGGGAGGAGAACGGGTGGCGGTAAGCATGAGCGAGCACACACGCGTGCATGCATGCAAACACGCATTGATACGAGCACAACCACACACACACACACACACAACACATGACTTGCACACACACACACACACACACACACAAGAACACATGACTTGCACACACACACACACACAAGAACACATGACTTGCACACACACACATGCACATGCACACACGCACACACGCACGCATGCACGTCGATTTCCCTTCATGCAGAAACTCACTGAGGCGACTGATGTTACGCGAGCCGCAGTCTTGGCAATAGTGCGATGGAAGATCACCGGCGTCAATCATGTCATCGACATCATCCGCGTCAAACAGGAAACTGTCAACGGACAGGGTGTTCTGCTCGTTGCAGTCGGAGTTCTCGCCACGGTCTGGATAGTGCAGCTCTTCATCCGCGGCAAGTGAGCCTTGGGACTCAAGTTGCTGCGCCAAGTACCGCCGAATCGTGTGCAGCGTGGCCATGCCCTTGCCTCCTTCTGCCTTATCGTCGTGCTCATGGTGATCGTGTCGCGCGCCATGGTCTGCCGCCTCATGCTCGTGACCTGGCACGGAAGCCAGGTGCTCAAGGGCAGCTGCACACGTGTTTGTGTGAGTGTGTACGTGAGAGGGAGAGGCAGAAGGGCGCGAATTCGCAATCACAGCAGCAAGGAGGTGCAGGTCAAGTGAAGGGGTTGTGCGCTGCAGTGATGATCATGTGCGACAGCATGATGCTCTCACTCACTCACTCACTCACTCACACACACTCACGCACACACACTCACGCACACACACACACACACTCACTCACTCACTCACTCATTCACTCACTCACTCACTCACTCACTCTCTCACACACTCACTCACTCACTCTCTCACACACGCACCTGTCGTTTGTGAATGGAGTTCGATGAGAAGGCGAGCAAGGTCTGGGGATGCCTGCTGCGCAGGGTCATCCTTCCAACCTTCCTTCAGCAACGTCGCTGCCCGGTCCAGCGCATGGCACAGCGCGGCGGAAGGTTGTTCGCTCATGGTTGCTTTTGGTCGTGGTGGTGTCCGTTTGGTGAATTTTATGGTGTCGTATCACATCACTCTGGCTGTTCTGGCTGTTGTCTGTTGTGCGGATGCGAAGATCACGTGCACTGTGTATCGTCAGCAACATGACTGAAACACCTGGCAAGGGGCGCTGGAGGGATAGGCTGAAAGCAAACGGAATGGCCGTCCAACAGGACAGCTGAGAAACAAAACTCAAGGGGGGTGGGGAGAGAGAGAGAGAGAAACGGCCCGCAACATATGCGCATATCATGTCACACTCACAGAAACACGTGCACACGCACGCAAGACAGACGGATAAGAGGATGAGGTAGGCATACGCACGCGAAGCGCAAGAAAAAACAAACGCACACACATGCACACACACACACACAGGAGAACGCACATGGGCCATCCTGACACAACAGCCCGGCACACGCAAGCACATCTGCGCGCGCGCACACACACACACACAACAAAAGGACGCACAGAACCCGCTCAATCAAGTGATCGTCAGGTGAACCCCCTCCCTCAGCCCAAACCAACTGCTTTTCTTTTAGTCGTTGGTGTCGGTGTCAATGCCGCTGTCACCAGCTTCTTCGTCCGTGTCGGTGTCAATGCCGCTGTCACCAGCTTCGTCGCCGTCGTCGTCATCGCTGTCGCTGTCGCTGTCGCTATCAACTGCAACAGCAGTTCCAGGAACTGGACGGCCGATGAAAAACCCGCCAATATCACCAGGTTCATTGTTGCTGCCATCGCCCTCAACAGCACTGTCAACGGAATCGCCATCCACCTCATTCGCCCGAGCAATAAATTCAGTGTGGTCGAGGAGAACATCATCAGCACCACCGTCGTCATTCCTTGCACTGCCATTCTCACTCCCACTTCGTAGAGAGGTCAGAAGTGCCATGAAGGTCACAAATGCCTGTGCTCTGTTGTTGGCGTCATCGATTGAAGGGTCGGTGTCCCGAGTGCTGGTGCTGTTGCCGTCATCGATTGAAGAGTCGGTGTCCCGAGTGCTGGTGCTGTTGCCGTTATCGATTGAAGGGTCAGTGTCCCGAGTGCTGGTGTTGTTGCCGTGATCGATTGAAGGGTCAGTGACCTGAGTGCGGGTGTTGTTGCCATCGATTGAAGGGTAAGTGACCCGAGTGCGGGTGTTGTTGCCGTGATCGATTGAAGGGTCAGTGACCTGAGTGCGGGTGTTGTCGGCCGTGTTGTCGCCCTCGCTGCCGTCACAACCAACAGCAGGTGGGTCACAGTGGTGGTGGTGGTGGTCGAGGCTCTTGTCATTGTCAACGGTGGTTGCGATGGTGGTAGGGGTGGTGGTGTTCGTATCGTCCTCGTTGCCGTCGTTGCCGCCGTTGCCGTCATTGCCGTCACAACCAACAGCAGGTGGGTCGCGGTGGTGGTGGTCGAGGGTCTTGTTCGTGCCGTTTTCAGCGCCTCCGTCATGGATAGGAACAGCACGGCCCTGCTCGTTCTCAGCGACACTGTCTTCGTCGCTGTGCGTTCCTACAACAGGCAGCAACGAGAGTTGAGCACTCGCGAGTAAGTATGAAACCGTTTCACACACGCTCACACACACACACACACACACACACACACACACACACACACAAGTTTGTCTGTTTGAAGAATACACGCGCCGAAACAAACACGCCAAAGCACAACATTCACACGGCGATAGGTTTTGACGGGAGCAACAACGCCGTACCTGTTGGCACGCCCTGGGACGAGAGCTGTGTGGTTCGAGCGTCTGCATCGGTTTGCGGAATGCAGCTTGACAGAAGTTGTTGCGACTGCTGGTTATTTTGGGAGTTCACCCTCTGCTGGGCGAGGGAGACTTCCTCATGCTCTGAAGAAACAAGCGCGTGGAATGACAAGAGAGAGTTCAGTGTACATGCACACGCGCACACAGGCAACCACGCACACAGACGCCAACACTGCCTGCAGGCACCGATGACTATCAGAGCAACACATAAGCACGAAGGAAGAGCAAGCACGTACCGCTTAGGTGGAGGATAACGTCGTCAGAACCGTCATCGTTCAACTCGTCAACGTTGGCCTCTATGAAGTCCTGGGCTGTGTGTGTGTGTGTGTGTGTGCGTGTGTATGTGTGTGTGTGTGTGTGTGCGAGAGTGAAGCATTCGAGGACAGTGGTGAGGATGGGCTTGGCACCAAACAAGCAGACGCAGGGTCGGTGGGCATGCGAAACGCAGGCAGGTTGCACTTATGGCCCACTCACCCAGGCGATGGCGATGATCTTGTTCATCATGTTCATCTTGTTCATTTGCAAAAGCATAGAAGCGTGGGAGAACAGACAGTGTTGGTGAGGATTGTGCAAGTCATCAAAGGCAGACAACGTATCTGACAAGCACCACCGGCTCACCGGTGGTCTGGCCGGGAGGTTGCCTGCTCCCGGTACTGAATGCATCAAACAAGCGAGTGGTTGTAAGGTCTGTCAGACTGGCGGTGCAAGTGACGACAACCACGCGTGGAACCACTGACATGCAACGCAAACACACCTGGGTGAAGATGATTCACGCTCGGAAGGCGTGGGGTCATTCATCCCCTCCCTGTACGAGTGCACCAGCATACGAGATTCCCGCATGGGGTCAACCAAGATGGAGAAAACAGTGGTGAAGGATAAGGCTTGCTTGCAGGCTTCTTGTCAGCAAAATCACACACAAAAGCTCGCATGCACGGAGGATGCGGCAACGAAGTCTTGGGACTGAGGACCATACCAGGAGGAGAGCTTCCCGCCAAAACCGCGGCGAGGGTGCATGATGCTTGAGTTGTTGTCAGACGAAGGTGGTGTTGGCCGGTTGCAAAGAGGGGCAAGGCAAACGACAGAGTCAACTTGGTCCGGCGCGAAAACCGTAACAAGTGAGTCACCATCAAATCATCACATCATTGAGGAGCGACGTTTTGGTTGTCGAACTTGCTTTCGGCCTTTGACGATCACTAGTGCATCGGCTGGTTGGCTGGTTGGCTGCCCCACTGCGACGCATCTTAGGGGTCGCGGGATGACAGCCATCCTGCTTGGTGTGCAAAAGGAGGGAGGCTCAAGGGGAAAGAAGAAGGACCATGCCACTGAGTCATGTCACATGCTACGAAAAACAATCAAGGCCAGCTCGTCATCATGCAAGCAAACTCGTTGCAGTGACGCAAGGAACACTGTCAAGGCCATCATGAACTGGAGCAGGGTCGGTGTAGCGACAGCAACCACTGCTACTGACACTCATGCGTTGGTCTCAGAGGGAAGGAAGGCACAATCGCAGGGCAGGAAAAAATGAACAGTGGTGTGGTTGGTGTTTTGCCTCCTTTGTGGGTTCGCTTTGGTGTTTCAACGCGCATCATCGTGTGTAAAACACTGGCACGAATCACTATTGTGGTGGTGGGACCAGAGCGTGCGAAACGGCGCATAATCCACACGCAGGCTGAAGCAAGCCACGCTTCAGCGCTGCAAGCGGGGGGGGAAACGATCATGGCGGCTGTAGGGTCGCAGGCACAATGAGCCCCGAACATTCTGGGTGCGGTGTTTTGGGCTGAGGTCTCCAAGCAGCCAAGCAAGCGAAAGATGGAAACGGCAAAGGAACATGCTCGCTGGCGGCTTTGGTAAAGCAGAACGGAGATGAACCAACAACAAAACAACCCCATGCAAGAGCCGTGGGACCAAGTAGGACACCACCACCACCACCACTGCCACCGCTGCCATCACAGAAGCTGAAAGGACAGTCGCCAACCCACACCAACACCCACACCAACACATTAAGAATGGGGTAGGAGTTTCGTGTCAAGGCACAAGAGGGCAGGGGAGGAGGTGTAGGGTTGAACAGATGGCCATCTCCTTTGTTGAGAGACAGGAGAGGACAGGCGAAGGCGAGCGTGGGGGTTGTAATAATTGTAAACACAGACAGAGTCACTGGACGAGGCGAGTGGGGTGAGTGGCACAACCAAGATGAGGTGGCAGAGCAAGCTAGCGTGCGCGGGAGAAATTTGTGCCAAATTCAAAATCATCACAAACTTTCTCACTGGACGTTGGTTGGAGGTCGTCAAGGTCACGACGGACGGCGGGCTTTGTTTGAATTTGTGTGTGTGTGTGTGTGTGTGTGTGTGTGTGTGTGTGTGTGTGTGTGTGTGTGTGTGTGTGTGTGTGTGTGTGTGTGTGTGTGTGTGTGTGTGTGTGTGTGTGTGTGTGTGTGTGCCACACTCTCTCTCTCTCTCTCTACTCTACCCCCATCCCCCAATCAATCTCTCCCTCTCCCTCTCACATCCCCTCCCTCTCCCTCCCCTCCTCATTGCACTCCTCACCACTTTTCCACACCTCCAACCACCGCCAGCACCCA